CATAATGACTGCAAGATACTTCACGTCTCACATCTGTATGTTGCTCGTCATCTGTATAACAGCCACTTCTAATCAGTCTCATAGATAGATAAGTCAGGCACAGACATACCAGCTTGACAGTCTACTCAATGTGAAGATAATATGCTGCTTCACGTCTCACATCTGTATGTTGCTAGTCATCTGTATAACAGCCACTTCTTACCAGTCTCATAGATAGATAAGTCAGGCACAGACATACCAGCTTGACAGTCTACTCAATGTGAAGATAATATGCTGGTACAAGAGCCCGAAAGGTCCCTTTTGTCACAAAGGCTAGTTGTCGACATCCTGCATCCACAGAACTTCAAATAGACTGTCTGTTTGTTGGATTTATATAAAATATATATAATAGTCGACTCAGTAAAAATTTTGAGGTCATGAACCTTTGGTGTCGAAATCAATTATGGCGGTTGAAGTAGTTTTTAGAAGTTGAAATTGCCTTCACTGACAAACAGGCAGATGGATTGAAGCACGACAAGCTAGATGTTATCACGGCCACTTGGAAGAGACAGAATAATGTGGTGTCATAGCAAGATCATTGTGGTCCGAAAAGACCTCTGGAAGAGACAGAATAATGTGGTGTCATAGCAAGATCATTGTGGTCCGAAAAGACCTCTGGAAGAGACAGAATAATGTGGTGTCATATCAAGATCATTGTGGTCCCAAAAGACCTCTGGAAGAGACAGAATAATGTGGTGTCATAGCAAGATCATTGTGGTCCCAAAAGACCTCTGGAAGAGACAGAATAATGTGGTGTCATAGCAAGATCATTGTGGTCCCAAAAGACCTCTGGAAGAGACAGAATAATGTGGTGTCATAGCAAGATCATTGTGGTCCCAAAAGACCTCTGGAAGAGACAGAATAATGTGGTGTCATAGCAAGATCATTGTGGTCCCAAAAGACCTCTGGGAGCGAGTGAATAGTGTGGAAGCACAAATAGATCATTGCAGTCCGAGGAGAATGGCGCTGCGGGGTGTTACCAGGGTGATCTGGATGATGCTTAACACTCAAGGAAAAGAGGAGACGTAAATAGTCAAGACAGTTACTGGTGTCATCAGAATTGGACCTCTTTATTTGTTGCTGAAGATGGGGACGGAATGCTTATGGGAGTGTCCTGAGTACTATGATGTTGATTGTTAATTCAACATTCGGTCTGAAGAAACTGGTGCAGTGGGTAATGACCAGTTCCAGTACTCTTGAGAAAACTGTTTATAGTAAAACTGGGTCTTTTCTCTGGAACCCATTGGTAAACATAAAAAGATGAAGACCTAAAAAGATGTGGAGAAGAGAGTTACAGATAGATGTCAAATACATGGGAACAGAACATGGAGTAAGGTGCAGAAGATGGCAAATGATAGGGGGACGGCTTGGTGTGAATTGGTTGAGGATCGATGTTTCAGTGGGCAAAGAAAGGGCAGATAATGATTTTTTTTTTTTTAAATATCCAGAAACCATGAGTTGTTAACCCTTTGGCTCGGTACTATGGATATCGCAACCCTTCAGCCTTGATTCCATGATAGGTACCGTAAATTTGAGAGAAATGTGGCTTTTTTGCCTCCCCCCGCGAGTGAACCTGGACCACAAGGAGTTCATCACCCGGTGGTCGCAAAGTCAGGCTTAGCCAACTACGCTAGCCAGCCGGGTGGCAGAAGAGGATAAAGTAATTTATGTTAATGCTTGATGCCAGTGGGTTCCCGAGGTCCCCCCCCCCCCCCCCCATAAGCATGTCATAAAAGATGACTAATTCGGAGCTTGCAGCAATCAGATTTGTTAAAAAGTGCAGATAGCTGTAAACCACAATATGCCTATTGCCCTTTCAAAACTAAGTGCAGAAGAAGAACCATTCAGAAATCTGCCTTTAGGACTATTGCTTTGAGTATTCTGCCAAATCTTGTTGCAGTCAAAGGGTTATGATAAGGCAAATGTTTTTGGCTGGTTCCATACTTTTTGTTAAAAGGCCACGAATATAATAATAAAACACACATCATTGACTTTATCAGTTATTGAACAGACATCAGTTCCCTCAAACAGTTCTACAGGTGACAGGATCAAAACAATTGCATCTGACTTGGTCCTGTAGGGTTTGGTCTGTCTCCAAAGAGCAGCTGCTTGCAACAAATATCACACACAAAGCACACAACCCATAGCTCAAGCTGTGTTCCCCTCTGCGATTTAATTAAAATGTATTCATAAGCTAAATGACAGTTTACAAAATAACCTATAACATTCTGTATACAAGACATTGATTGACCATTGCACTATTGAGATCCTCAACCCCCCCCCCCCCCCCCCCCCCCCCCCCCCCCCCCCCCCACCACCACCACCACCAGTGCCATTAAACATCTTAGTCATTTAAATGCTTTTGATAATATGGGTCATCATCAGGTGCCTTGCCGACTAGCTTGGGTGATCATTCCTCTCAACAATCCGCGATCTTCTGCAGCATGTATCAGTTCATGTGCTGACACACCTCCATGCCATGCAAAAATAGATTGTCAAGAATCTTCACTCGTCTTCCTCTATCCCTCCTTCCACTATCCCTCCTTCCACTATCCCTCCTTCCACAGATCTTTCCAGTGGTCACAACATGTTCCATTTTCCCTTTTCTCATACCATGGCCAAAAAATGATGATTGTCTCTTTCTGATTGATGTCTGAGATAAGTTGTCTGCGGGCTCCCACCTCTTTCAAAACCTCTTGGTTGCTCTTTTTGGCTGCCACAGGTATTTTAAGCATTCTTCTGTAAAACCACATCTCTGAGGCCTCAAGAAATTGTTCTGGCCTGCCTACTGATTGTCCAGGACTTGTATCCATATGTTAAAACTGGATGTATGTAGCTAGCAAGAATTCTTTTTCTAACCTTCAATGACATAGATAAATTGCATAATATGTTCTTCATTTTAAAAAATGCAGTTTTTGCCTGTCCTTTTTTGCTTGTTATCTCAGTAATGCATCTTCCATCTGATGTTATCCCTGAGATGATATGGGTAAGATTCTTTTTTTCCCCCTTTTTCTTCACTTGCTCTTTTTCTCCTTTCAAATAAGATATGAGATTCTACTTCTTGCTCTTCCAGTCATCTCACCCATAGACTTGTAGTTTTGTTGAAGTTATCATTTTATTCTTGGTATGACCCGAGTTTTATGTCCCTCTTCTCTTTTTTTGTTTGGTATGGCATCACAAAGCATTCCCTTTAAGTGAACTTCTTCTTTTGTCGACTCACAGATACCAGTGTCATGGTTTTCTGTATCTGTCTTGTGCTTCTCTGTTGGCTTGGGTAACGGATTTGTTCATCTTTGTTTGGTCTTCCTCTCACCTTCCTCCCAGATGTTCTGTTGTAAAAAGCCTCATATGCAGTTTGGTCTGGCTACATTCTCACTAGATGACAAACCAGTTCATTCTTTGTCTGGCAACATAATCCAGACATGGTCTTATTCCGACTTTCTTTCTAATGCTGGTATTCATAACCCTGTCTCTTCTGGTGTTGTTAGTGACCTTGCGGACACAGCGCATTTCACATGTAGTTATTTTCTGTTGTAGGGCAGTATTCATTGTCAAAAAGGGCGACAGACTGAAGAGGGGAAAATCGTGGCTAGGTCGGGCAGAAGATGGTATTAGGCAAATATGCAGCCTAACCGACATCATACCTGGTGCAGAATGGATACCTGTGCCTCAGGCGTTTATTTGTACATTTTCCTGTATTGTCACACTCAACAGGCGATGTAGAGAAGATAATCCTGTTGCTGTTAATGCAGAGGTCAACGCTCTCATCGGTGAAAATTCAGACGAAGCAGATGCACTAATCTATACAGACGGATCAGTTATACGCCAAAGAAGAAGCGCATGGGCATTTACAGCACGCTCAGCGGGCAGAACAGTCAAAGAAGCCAATGGCGCCTTCTCCATGACAACCAGCAGCATGACGATGGAGGTGATGGCAGTGACGCAAGCGTTTGCCTGGCTTGAAACACAAAAATACACCCCCATATATATACTCAGTGATTCAATGAGTATGATCCGGAGGGTTCAGGCAGGTTCAGTGCGAAGACAATGGCTTGAATCAATTCAGAAGTCCACTGTGCGAGGAGTCAGCTTTATTTTTGTTCCGGGACACGCAGGCGTCGATGGAAATGAAAGAGCTGACAGGTTGGCTGGATCCGCTATCACTACCGACGGTCGGCCTATGGATCATGCTGATATTATCAATGCCCTCAGAGAAATGGGAAGGATAGAGGACTTTGGTGGCAGTGAATCCACATCACTCGCCAGAATGGCAGACTTGGGAATTAAGATCGGCACAGCAAAAAACGAGACGCACACCGGACACGTCAGAAGACTTGTTAATCAACATAGAACTGGTACTATTAGCCATCGGACGTTGGGATTCATACTGAGGGGAGGATCTGAGCACCTATGGACATGTCCGGAGTGCAATGATGATAACCCAACTAACTAACTAACTAACTAACTAATTCATTGTCTATGTTTGGCATTGATAACATAAATTAGGGATAAGGCTGCTATTGATCATTTGTTGTTTTGCTGGAAAGGAGACGTTTGGGTGTCTAAGCAATGGGACTTTAAGTGAACAAACCCTTTTTTTTTTTGGATTTCCTGTCTGTGTAATTTAGTAAGATTACCTTGCAGAATTGGCAACATATCAAGGCAAAACTTTTGGCTAAGAGAAACATCAGTGCAAGTCAAACTTTACGGATCACTGAGACAACATTGCAGAATTAGATAATATATTTCAAGCGAACGAAAGAAGAAGAAGAATTGGCTTTGATTCTTGTGCCTAGAGAAACTCTTGGCATATACAGGAAACATTACAGGTGCCATTTTGAAAACAATTAGGGAAACTGAAGCAGGATGTTTACTGCATTATACAATTGTTGTTTTCTGTAGTAAAATCATTGAGACGCTCAGATTTATTACCGAAGGCTAACTCTCTCTTCTGCAGCTAGCACAACCAGCAGTGGTACTGTAGACATTCAGCCTCGTTCTGGCAGTCAGAATGATAATAATGGAAGCACAGGACCTAAACCCATGTTGCCGTACAGCTCCATGTTTATCTTTGACCCGACAAACCCGTGAGTTATAGCTTGTGTATTTTTTACCATATTATCTTCAGAATCGGAAGGTAGTGGGTTCACGTCTTAACAGAGCCTATTTTTTTTAAAATGACCTTGACTTAGGTTGACCCAGCCTAGAGTGGGTACCAGGTGCAGTCCTGGGAAGTAAAGGCGGCCAGCAGGATGCTGACCACATTACCTATCAAGTGCTAGGTCTAACCCTATATTCCCAATATGCCTAGAGGCTTGGAAAAAGGACTTTTACTTTTATCTTCAGTGCCTCAACATCTGTAGTGTTATTTTTTAAATATTGGATTTCCCTTAAGTTTCCGTTGATAGGAAAAATAAATGTACCATGTCAGGGGTTGCTTGTAATGGGAGGTCACTCCAAATGACTACACTGACCTATCCAAGCATCTGGAAACTGAAAATCTAACCATTGATGTACATTTAATTTTTCTTGTATGGAAACTTATGAGACTCCTGGTATATTCTCTATCTTTAATTTCTTAAATATTCACTTTTGTGGTGTTATACGACTCTCTAGTGAGATGTTAGTGAAATAGTTTTGACTCTCTAGTGACATGTTAGTGAAATAGTTTCGACTCTAGTGAGATGTTAGTGAAATAGTTTCCACTCTCTAGTGACATGTTAGTGAAATAGTTTCCACTCTCTAGTGACATGTTAGTGAAATAGTTTCCACTCTCTAGTGACATGTTAGTGAAATAGTTTCGACTCTAGTGAGATGTTAGTGAAATAGTTTCGACTCTCTAGTGAGATGTTAGTGAAATAGTTTCAGCTCTCTAGTGAGATGTTAGTGAAATAGTTTCGACTCTCTAGTGAGATGTTAGTGAAATAGTTACGACTCTCTTGTGAGATGTTAGTGAAATAGTTTCGACTCTCTAGTGAGATGTTAGTGAAATAGTTTCAACTCTCTAGTGAGATGTTAGTGAAATAGTTTCGACTCTCTAGTGAGATGTTAGTGAAATAGTTTTGACTCTCTAGTGAGATGTTAGTGAAATAGTTTCGACTCTCTAGTGAGATGTTAGTGAAATAGTTTCGACTCTCTAGTGAGATGTTAGTGAAATAGTTTCGACTCTCTAGTGAGATGTTAGTGAAATAGTTTTGACTCTCTAGTGAGTGAGTGAAATGTTTACTCTCTAGTGAGATGTTAGTGAAATAGTTTTGACTCTCTAGTGAGATGTTAGTGAAATAGTTTCGACTCTCTGGTGAGATGTTAGTGAAATAATTTCAACTCTCTAGTAAGATGTTAGTGAAATAGTTTCGACTCTCTGGTGAGATGTTAGTGAAATAGTTTCAACTCTCTAGTGAGATGTCAGTGAAATAGTTTCGACTCTCTAGTGGGATGTTAGTGAAATAGTTTCGACTCTCTAGTGGGATGTTAGTGAAATAGTTTCGACTCTCTAGTGGGATGTTAGTGAAATAGTTTCGACTCTCTAGTGAGATGTTAGTGAAATAGTTTCGACTCTCTAGTGAGATGTTAGTGAAATAATTTTGACTCTCTAGTGGGATGTTAGTGAAATAGTTTCAACTCTCTAGTGAGATGTTAGTGAAATAGTTTTGACTCTCTAGTGAGATGTTAGTGAAATAGTTTTGACTCTCTAGTGAGATGTTAGTGAAGTAGTTTCGACTCTCTAGTGAGATGTTAGTGAAATAGTTTCGACTCTCTAGTGAGATGTTAGTGAAATAGTTTCGACTCTCTAGTGAGATGTTAGTGAAATAGTTTCGACTCTCTAGTGAGATGTTAGTGAAATAGTTTCGACTCTCTAGTGAGATGTTAGTGAAATAGTTTCGACTCTCTAGTGAGATGTTAGTGAAATAGTTTCGACTCTCTAGTGAGATGTTAGTGAAATAGTTTCGACTCTCTAGTGAGATGTTAGTGAAATAGTTTCGACTCTCTAGTGAGATGTTAGTGAAATAGTTTCGACTCTCTAGTGAGATGTTAGTGAAATAGTTTCGACTCTCTAGTGAGATGTTAGTGAAATAGTTTCGACTCTCTAGTGAGATGTTAGTGAAATAGTTTCGACTCTCTAGTGAGATGTTAGTGAAATAGTTTCGACTCTCTAGTGAGATGTTAGTGAAATAGTTTCGACTCTCTAGTGAGATGTTAGTGAAATAGTTTCGACTCTCTAGTGAGATGTTAGTGAAATAGTTTCAACTCTCTAGTGAGATGTTAGTGAAATAGTTTCGACTCTCTAGTGAGATGTTAGTGAAATAGTTTCGACTCTCTAGTGAGATGTTAGTGAAATAGTTTTGACTCTCTAGTGAGATGTTAGTGAAATAGTTTCGACTCTTTAGTGAGATGTTAGTGAAATAGTTTCGACTCTCTAGTGAGATGTTAGTGAAATAATTTAGACTCTCTAGTGAGATGTTAGTGAAATAGTTTTGACTCTCTAGTGAGATGATAGTGAAATAGTTTCGACTCTCTAGGGAGATGTTAGTGAAATAGTTTCGACTCTCTAGTGAGATGTTAGTGAAATAGTTTTGACTCTCTAGTGAGATGTTAGTGAAATAGTTTCGACTCTCTAGTGAGATGTTAGTGAAATAGTTTTGACTCTCTAGTGAGATGTTAGTGAAATAGTTTCCACTCTCTAGTGGGATGTTAGTGAAATAGTTTTGACTCTCTAGTGAGATGTTAGTGAAATAGTTTCAACTCTCTAGTGAGATGTTAGTGAAATAGTTTCGACTCTCTAGTGAGATGTTAGTGAAATAGTTTCGACTCTCTAGTGAGATGTTAGTGAAATAGTTTCGACTCTCTAGTGAGATGTTAGTGAAATAGTTTAGACTCTCTAGTGAGATGTTAGTGAAATAGTTTCGACTCTCTAGTGAGATGTTAGTGAAATAGTTTCAACTCTCTAGTGAGATGTTAGTGAAATAGTTTCAACTCTCTAGTGAGATGTTAGTGAAATAGTTTCCACTCTCTAGTGAGATGTTAGTGAAATAGTTTTGACACTCTAGTGGGATGTTAGTGAAATAGTTTCGACTCTCTAGTGAGATGTTAGTGAAATAGTTTCGACTCTCTAGTGAGATGTTAGTGAAATAGTTTCGACTCTCTAGTGAGATGTTAGTGAAATAGTTTCGACTCTCTAGTGAGATGTTAGTGAAATAGTTTTGACTCTCTAGTGAGATGTTAGTGAAATAGTTTCGACTCTCTAGTGGGATGTTAGTGAAATAGTTTTGACTCTCTAGTTAGATGTTAGTGAAATAGTTTCGACTCTCTAGTGAGATGTTAGTGAAATAGTTTTGACTCTCTAGTGAGATGTTAGTGAAATAGTTTCGACTCTCTAGTGAGATGTTAGTGAAATAGTTTTGACTCTCTAGTGAGATGTTAGTGAAATAGTTTTGACTCTCTAGTGAGATGTTAGTGAAATAGTTTCAACTCTCTAGTGAGATGTTAGTGAAATAGTTTCGACTCTCTAGTGGGATGTTAGTGAAATAGTTTTGACTCTCTAGTGAGATGTTAGTGAAATAGTTTCGACTCTCTAGTGAGATGTTAGTGAAATAGTTTCGACTCTCTAGTGAGATGTTAGTGAAATAGTTTCGACTCTCTAGTGAGATGTTAGTGAAATAGTTTCGACTCTCTAGTGAGATGTTAGTGAAATAGTTTCGACTCTCTAGTGAGATGTTAGTGAAATAGCTTCGACTCTCTAGTGAGATGTTAGTGAAATAGTTTCGTCTCTCTTGTGAGATGTTAGTGAAATAGTTTCGACTCTTTAGTGAGATGTTAGTGAAATAGTTTTGACTCTCTAGTGAGATGTTAGTGAAATAGTTTCGACTCTCTGGTGAGATGTTAGTGAAATAGTTTTACAATGCAGGTCTTATTGTTTACCAACGTCCGTTTCCCACAGTTTAGAAAAAGACATTTCTCATGGCTTTCATTTAATGGCATGAGAGTCACACCATGGAAGAGACTGTGGCAGCACTATGTAATATTCCCTTAATTAGCATTGGATGCATTGCAGGTAGCCTCCATTGTGAAGATGGCACCACTTCTCTTTGTTTAACGCTGTTACCTTCTTTATTATATTTTTCTGCAAAGTACAGTTCTCAAATATTAGTTTCTTATGTGTTAATTTCTCACTTGTTAACTTCTGTCAGTTAAATTATCTGAAAGTAAATTGCAGTGTAAATTTTTTTCACACAAATGCATAAAATATGAATTTCTTTAATATCAGTGTCTTTAGCATTATTTTCTTGAAGATAATTTTCTGGAGTGTTAATTTTTAAGTACTAACTTCTGAAGTTGTCAAGAAATATTAAATTATAAGTATGGTTAATTTATTGAATACGAAATTCTGTGGTTAAAATTTTAGTTCTGGATGTAATATTCTTAGTCACAATTTTGTTTAACATATTGACCAACCAGTGTACCCACAGTCTGTCGGCATCTGTTCCTTAGGCATTACGAACACACTTTCTGGCAGTGGTACCGAGAGCTGACCATTCAGGAAGCAGTGGTAAACTACAGAACGAAACATTTGCCTAGAAAAACCGCAACAGCCAAAAATGCTGGGGTTGGCCCTACAATGTCCTGTAAAGGATACGCAATTAACTAACCCACAGTCTAATTGGCAGCAGAGAATTTCAGAATAGAGATCTTGGATGTCTACATATAGTATATTTGTATTGTGGATTTCATTTTAAAATGATGGCGATATATTGGGCATATTCTAAGAAGTGGACAGATCACCAAACATACACTGAAATAGGAGACAAATTCGCAATGCTCTCAAGGAGGTAGGACAAGAAGATGACTCAAGAGACAACATTGGACTGGCAACACTCAAAAGACTATAAGAACTTCAGGTCAAAGCGGGTGTGGCCAAACATAAACACTATACAGGTAGCCAAAGAGAAGAATAGTAAACCAACACAGAACTGGTGTTATCAGTCGCCACACACTGAGAGAAATAGTGAAGATGGGATCCGAGTGCTTCTGGACTTGTCCGATGTGGGGTGAGGATCTTTCAACTAACTAACTAACTAACTAACTAACTAACTAACTAACTAACTAACTAACTAACTAACTAACTAACTAACTTGTTTGAGGAAATGAGGTCGTTAAAAACAAACCCTTAAAACAAGTTGATTGGAGACACCATAACTGCTGCACTTATGTTTGACTATATTAACATGATTGCAGAAGATATAACAAAATTGATAAATAGACACTGAGCGCTGTGCAGTGTATAAACAGCACAGCAAGATAGTGGTGATATTGTCGAGTATGCTAAGTGTGTTTAAGATATTTTGTTGTCAATTGCGAAATTATTTCTTCCTTTTTTGTTCATACAGTGTCAGACGCTTCTGTCATTTTGTGGTCAACCTACGGTACTTTGATCTGTTCATCATGATTGTGATCTGTGCTAGCTCCGTGGCCCTGGCAGCAGAAGACCCGGTCATTGAGGACTCCTACAAAAACAAGATTCTCAATTATTTCGATTACGTTTTCACAGGGGTCTTCACCATTGAGCTGGTACTCAAGGTTTGTGTATTTTCTTGTATTAAAAAGCTAGTAACTTTTCATTCTAAGAAGTTTAAAAAAGAGTGTGTAACTCTAGCGACTACGGTGTTCGGAAATTTGCGATCTTTTGGCAATTTCCGTTACCATGGAAACCGTTCAAAACTTGTTTCGGAAATGTTGGCTGGGGTTTCGGGATGGGTCCTAATCTCTCATGAAATTTTGCGATTGGTGTGATTTTCACCAGCTATAAATAGCTGAAAACGGTGGGAATGAAACCGATTAACAGCGCATGTCTACGACAGCCGGACGTCCTCTGTTTTTCTGTTACATCAGTTTGATTGAAAATAGCAAGAAGTATTCAAAGTTGGCTTTAGGCTTTAACTGTTACTAGACATGGTAATGCTAGTTATAATTGAATTCTCCGTCCAATTTTACATTTGTGTATAAAATTTCTTTCTTATCAGTGGCTAGTTCGATTTACAGTGACATTTTTCAGGCAATCGATGTGGCTGTGTCTGAGAAAAATTGTCTGCCATCTTGTCCAATGAAAACAAAGCCAAAACGAAAGTGCGCAGTTTGGTTGCGCAGAAAAAAACTTCTTGTTTCTTGGACACAAGTTTTAGCAGCTGTTTTTTATATCTCATCTCCACAAAAACCTACATATCTCGGCTCAGAAATGACATACAAGCCTAAATGAGGAACCGTTGGAAAGAGACTGTTTACAGCTATCTAACTGTGCTGGTTTTATTGGTGTAGAGGGCATATTGAAAATTTGACTAAAGTATCTAGTAACTCTTCATTCAGAAAAGGTATAATCTAATGCATGGATTAGCTGCTTTTACTTCCCAGCAAATTATTTGGTAACCAATGTAGGCTTGGTTGACCTAGGAACCGCTGTCAGTTTTAAAACAAACTATGCATCTTTAGATGTGAACACTTTAAATGATGATCACTGGCATCATGAGAGCTAAAAGACTGAAATGGTTGGGGCAAATTGAAAGAATGTCAGATGACAGAGAAGTAAAAACTGTATACACAAGGAAGATGAATGGTCGTAGACCATGAGGCAGACCAAGAAGAAGATGGAGAGATAATGTCCAGACAGACCTGTAAACAACTGGAAAGAGAAGGCCAACCAGAGAGATGAATGGAGCTGGGTGATATCTGCAGCAATGAACCTCAGGGGCTCGGAATGCTGAAGAAGAAGAAGAAGAAGGTGTGAACACAAGATCCTTGGGCTGGCAGGTGTCTGTACTTTGACACTGGGGGTCTTTTACGTAATACAAATGACAGAATTAAAATAATATGGGGCATCCTGAAAATCTTTAGATTTTTCAGGTATACAGAGTCAGGAGTTCAGTGTCAAATATTTTCTCTGGAGGAGAAATCTACAGAGAATCATCAAACAGTCACTGAGATGATCAACAAATGTACTGAGGGAAAGGAGTCTGTTATTGAGTGAAAGGAGAGTGAAAGGAGTCTGCCATTGAGGGACAAGTCTGTATTGAGGGAAGTCTGCCATTGAGGGAAAGGAGTCTGCCATTGAGGGAAAGGAGTGATCAACAAATGTACTGAGGGAAAGGAGTCTGTTATTGAGTGAAAGGAGATCTGCCATTGAGGGAAAGGAGTCTGCCATTGAGGGAAAGAAGTCTGCCATTGAGGGAAAGGAGTCTGTCATAGAGGGAAAGGAGTCTGTCATTGAGGAAAAGGAGTCTGTCATTGAGGGAAGGGAGTCTGTCATTGAGGGAAGGGAGTCTGTCATTGAGGGAAAGGAGTATGCCATTGAGAGAAAGGAGTCTGTCATTGAGAGAAAGGAGTCTGTCATTGATAGAAAGGAGTCTGCCGTTGAGAGAAAGGAGTCTGTCATTGAGGGAAAGGAGTCTGTCATTGAGGGAAAGGAGTCTGTCATTGAGGGAAGGGAGTCTGTCATTGAGGGAAGGGAGTCTGCCATTGAAAGAAAGGAGTCTGTCATTGAGAGAAAGGAGTAGGTCCAAAAGAAAACCTGAGATGAATGTTGCTGAGAGAGGACAAAGGTGCTGCATTAGATTCCATCCATGATATTGAAACAGTTGCAAAGAATAGAACAGAATATGAGCTGTGAGATATTACACCATTCGTTTTAATGAGCATCGTATTACTATTATAGTGAGCATACTTTGGATCTTGTCTCCCGGCCATGCCGGCGTGGTGGGTAATGAACAGGCAAACAGATTGGCTGGATCTGAACCCCTGGTTGTTAAATTGATACATGACAAGGCAGATGTGGTCGGGGCCCTTTTGGAACAGGCAACAGAATCTGTAGAGATGCAAGATTGTTATTGCCTGGAGAGAATGAGGCACCTGGGTGTGACTAGAGAGGGTCAGGCCGGCTCACTACACTCAGAGGAAAGGCAAGACAGGCATATAACCAGATCGTGACCGGTACCATCAGTACTGGAACTCTGCGCTGGCTGCTGAAGATGAGGACGGAGCACACATGGGAACACCTGAGTGCTTTGATGTCAATTCTTGACTCAACTCAACTCAACTCGACTAGTTCACTATTAGATAAACATGTACATTTTTCCCAGAGCAGATAAACATTCATCTTTGATATTCTTTACTTTAATTCAAAAGATCATTGACCTTGGTGTCATCCTTCATCCTGGTGCATACATCCGAGATTTGTGGAACATTCTAGATGCCACTGTGGTTGTCTGTGCTCTGGTTGCATTTGCATTTAAGTAAGTTTCCGACTGAGGTTTTCTTTTTTCCAAGCTGTCTATTTTCCTTGTCATAATCAAGTTTAAGTATTGAAATATTCATTTGCTTCATAGGTTTTTGATATTTGTCAGCTTTTAAATTTTAGGAAATATATTAGTTACCTATAAGTGGGTGGCCCAAATTATAACATTTATGATGAGCAGGGGATTTAACTCTATTGTTATTTACACTATTGGTCTTATTATTGGGTGTAAGCCCCCTTTAGGAAACCCTGAGATATTTAAAGTGAAAAGGGTAGGGGAAAAAAATCTGCTGAAAGATTAACTTAAATTTCACTGTTTGGGGTACTCTAAGAATGTGGTAAAACCTTGTTAACACAAACTCAGAAAGAGCACACACAAATCAAGAGTTTTTGTTGAAAAAATATGTTCTAACCAGGGACATTATGAATTATAGGACCAAAATTTTGTTTTCCAATAACTGAGTAATATGCTCAAAAATTCCCACCAAGCATGTAATATCCTAACATTTTCTACCCAAAAAAAAGGTGGTATATTAGCAATTTTCCCTAAACAGCATATGAGCAATTTGCCATCAAAGAAGTAATTTACTATCAGGTTTCTAGCAAATGTATAAAATACTATCAATTTTCCACCAATCAATATATTAGGAATCATAGAAGTAATATACAAGAAATTTTCCACCACATAAATAATAGGCTAGCAGTTTTCCCACAAAGAAGGAATATACTAGGAATTTTCTGCCAAAGAAGGAACATACTTTCAATTTTTCACCAAAGAAGTAATATACTAGCAATTTTTGACCAAAAATGTAATATAGGATATTTTTTTTTTTCTGAGACAAAAAATATGTTGGCAGTTTCTAGTGGGACAACTATTAACTGTGTTTTTAATTAGTCTCTGTAGTTAGGATGTTTATTTAAACACAGTTGTTTAAACACAGTTATCTCCACTTAACAAGCTGACAAACATCCATAACCAGTTCTCACCCCTTGTCGACTGTTTTTGTGTGTGCCAGTTTTCATGTATTCTGTAGCTCTTGGTATACAGCAAGCCACTTGAAACAATAAACATTTCAGACCGATAATTCAAGAAACCACTGGTTTTGACTGAAACAAGTATGCCTCTTACTTTAAAGAATTCAAGAGGGAATCATTTTTTTCCCAGCCTGTTTAAGGAAGTTATTTCAGTCATTGTCGCCACAGGTTTTATCAACAGCTTTCATCATCTCTGTGACTGGCCTTTTTTTTTTATTTTGCGTCTACAGTTATGGTTAGGTCTGCTTGTATATTATCTCTCCGCTGTCGTCTTCTGCGTCTTTTCATTGTTTACAACAGTTCAACAGGTTTGGAGTGTGTGTGTGACCATTAATCATTCTGTCTACTTCACCAGCCCTACAAGGGATAATTGGGGGAGAGGGGGGAGGGGGTGGAGGACTTTAGGGACAGAGGGTCCACATCACTCACCAAAGCGATAGCCTAGGGAGTTGGGATCGGCATGGCAGGAAACGAGACACACGCCAGGCACATCAGAGGACTCATTATAAACAAAAAACTGGTACTATTAGCCACTGGACACCTTATTTTATTATGGACAGACCAGAACAAGTCATTATCCTCCGCCTCAGAACAGGGCACAACCGATTACGTAACCACATGTACACAAAATTCAAGATAGGTGTATAAGCCATGTGCACCTGTGGAAATGTTCCCCAGACAGCAGAGCATGTACTCCAGGACTGCACCGATTTTGGCACATTAAGGCACACCTTTTGGCCAGAAAGAACAACAGTGGAACGTAAACTCTATGGACCACTGAATGAACTAACAACGACAGTGAAATTTATACAAGAGACAAAACTGCTGATACAGACAACTTATTTCAGGCGAACGAAAGAAGAAGAAGACTGGACACCTGGGTTCATACTGAAGGGAGGATCTGAGCACCCACTTATGGACATGTCTGGAGTGCACTGATGATAAACTATCTATCTATTTCCTCAACTATTTCATTCTGTTAGCTCTTGTAATGCCAGTACCTACACCTTTACTTTTTCTTGTGTAGTTCTGTTCTGCCTTTCAGTGTCAGGTTTTGAAGAGGCAGTGAGTACAAACCTGGCTATGAGCTACGTAACTGCTGGTATTTTTGCTCTCGGATATTCCACTTATCCATGGCTTACATGATCCAAAACCAGCTCTGCTTCCATTATGTCTTAAGTGACAGGGCTCTCTGCATTCTGGTAGTAGTCTTGATACATGTCCAAACCATTTGATCTGTTGTCTCTCGATGTAGTCCAGTGCTGGTTTCATCTCTACTTCTTTCCTGACATCGTCATTTTTTTTATCCTGTCTCTTCTAGCTACATTTAGGATTCATTGTAGACATTTTTTTGTCCACATTTCATGTAAATCCTGCTGTTCTACTCTCCTCATCTCTGTTTTGTAGGTAAAGGGACTTATTTTCCATAGAATTAAGTAACTAGCCCAGTGCAACCCTCAGTCACCTCTTATTAACAGTATACTAGTTACATAGTTACTGTTTTTTATTTACCATAAAGCGACGTAGTTACTGTTTTTTATTTACCATAAAGCGACACTGTGCTCTATGCAAATTAAGCACTTGAAAATATAATTTTTTTAAATTTTCATTGTGTGGGGCCATATACTAAGAGCTGGAATGTGTTTTTTCATTACATAATTGTTTCATATCTTCTGAACTGGAAATATGTATTTTACAATCTCTTGTTGCTAGATGTAGCTTCAAAAAAAAAAAAACTTCTAGCCTAAATGGTTTTCAATGCTTCTTCAAAATGGCAAGTCTTCCATGTATTCCTATCTTTCATCTAGCAATATGCAACTTATCTGTTAGATCCTTTTACTATTTTTAACTGTTATAATATTACCGAATAATTAGGATACATTTTCCACAAACATTGTTTGAAAGCTAATCTGGAAAAAAGGGAGACTACTGTGTAATATTCTTCTAAAATCAAATGCTTTCTCATAACTCACTGAGCATGTTGAGAAAGGTAAAAACAGGCATACTTCATGCAGAGTGGCAAGTATCACTTTAAAGGTCCCGGGTAGTTAGCATCCTTTGGATATTTTCACTAGGTGATGCCGGTGTGTTGGGAAATGAGCAGGCAGATAGAGTGCCTGGCTCTGCACCACTTGATGGTGAATTTATGTATGACAAGTTAGATATTATAAGAACACTTTAGGAATGGGTGAACAGTGCAGAGGCACTTATGAATCATTACGGTCTGAGGAGAATGGTGCTGCAAGGAGTTGCCAGCGAATCTGGCCGATGCTGAAGACTCAGGGGAAGGATGAGATGGGTAAACAATCACGGTTACTGGTACCATCAGAATTGGAACTCTTCACTTGCTGCTGAAGATGGGGACTGAGCACTTATGGTAGTGTTCCAAGTGCTGTGATGTTGATTCTTAATTCAGCATTCAACAGTCAACATGCTCTCTCATAACCAATATCAGAATATATAAAACACTGATAAAACCAGTTGTCCTGTATGGCTGTAAAAACAGAAGTGTTGCTACAAAAAGATAAAGCCTATAAACACATTTTTTTACTTATGTGGAATCTTTGGACCCATCGAGGATAGAGCGGAACGTGGAGAATGCGAGGCAGTAGTGAAATTAATAATCTTTTAAATAACCATTAATAACTATCATCATGAGTGCTAATAAACTGCCGTATATAGAAATAATGGCAGATAACAGAGACAAAAAAAATGATGTACACAGAAGAGTTCAATGGAAGTAGACAAGGAGGCAGACCAAGAAGACTGTTGAAAGATATACAGGCAGGCCTACAAACCCTTGGAGTCACCAACTAAAAACAATGGACTAATCACAGAGATGAACGAAGGTGGATGATATCTGCAGTAATTATCAACCATGGTTGGGAATATTGAAGAGGAAACGAGAAGAGTGCTTGAAAGTTGAATTACTGAATTTTTGTGTAACTGAAAACCTTTTTCTTGTCTTCTTCTTTTTGACATTCACTGGCTGTAAACTGCAGTGGAAAGTTCTGTTTGTTTATTCAATGGTTGTTTATTCACTTCTGGACAAGTCTTGAATTTGAGTTTGCATGCACGTCTGTTTTACATATTTGGCTTTTTTGTATGCAGACTGTTGGTTCCTTTTCTCTCTGGCAGATGCACTCAGACTTCAAAGGAAACACTCATTTAATCAACTTTACAATATGCTGCTTAAGGGGCTGCAGTAGGTGTATCTCTAAAACAAACCTAAATATCAGAATATATTCTATGCCAATAAGAAACAACCTTGAATGTCAGAGTCTATTCTATGGCTCAAGAAGCAAGCCTAAATATCAGAATATATTCTATGCTAATAAGAAACAACCATGAATGTCAGAATATATTATATGCCAGTAAGAAACAACCATGAATGTCAGAGTCTGTTCCATCATCTCTTCTTCAATCTTTAAAGTAGGAAATCTGAGCTTTTGACCTGAAATGATACAGAACAGTTCTTAGAATAACATGGATCAAGGAGATAAAAAAAAATGCTTAAATCCTGTATGAACATAACATCAAGGAGAATTGGCTCATAAACAGAATCTTGTCCCAAAAGCTGGGGTATTTGGGCTATTTCACGCGCCGTGGTGGTCTAGAGATAACAGTGAGATGGAGTGCGCAGTTTCTGGAAAACATGGCAAAGGTTGACCTCCGTGAAGGTGGATACAGGACACCAAAGAAGCATTGACTATGAAAGCATACACGGCTGGAGAATTGGCTAGAGAAAGAGAGACTTTCAGGTGGGCCATAAGGAAAGCAACAGTCTGTAAAGGACACGCTGATTGATTGACTGAGCCATGTTTTTATAGTATTATTGGGCTGAACACTGAAAGACAAATTTCATGTTTTGTTAATCAGGGGTAATACCTGGTTACACATGACACATTGTTGAGTCTGACAAAAGCTTATAAAGCTTAAAAAAAAGAACTGACACTCTGTACTGCTG